ATAAAAATCAAAAAAAAAAATTAAGGGGTGGGGGAATTTTTTACAAAGTCAAAAAATTTACTAGTAATTTATTAGTATGTGTTGTCTGAAACGGGTCTCTGGGGGGGGGGGGGACAAATCCTTCACCTGCCAGAATTATGTGAAAGGGATTTTTGCCTTACCAGTGACCAACTGTCATCCATGGAAGTAAAAGGACAGGGGAAATTAATGTTGGTATGGATTGAATTTCTGTAAAACACTTTCCTGTTTAAAGCCCCCAGGGGGACCGCGGTCGTAGGGGGGGAGGAGGGGGGAGGGAGGATTTGTATCTTTTTTATTTTTTATTTATGTTTACATTCCATTTACCTAATTACAAACATTTAACTCCAACGGACTTTCTTTATTTTGGGGACATTAGGTAACCAAAAAATTTTTAAAGTGAGGGGAATCCCCAATATGGTTTTTATAAATTTAAAAATCTAAAGGAAAAAATGAAGCCATTCGGGGGAGGGGGGGGGGTGACCATTTTTTTCCAATTTTCCTAATCTGTATAAGAAACCACTCTGATCCCAAGGACACGATGGACGCTGAGAGGGGTTTCCCCACACGGGGTGGCGAGTATTTCAAGGCTGTAAAAAGGGATGCGCTTTTCTACGGTTTTGTTGGGAGTATTGGGGAGGTTTTATTTTCATGGCATTTCTTTAAATGGGTTTTAACTCCCCCATATTCAAAAAGGGGGACCCTCAACTTGTTTATCTGCGGGAGGTTATTTTCCCTCCGGATTGGATTGCTTTTAAAAAAGGGGGGAGGGTCTTTTGTCACAATTAAAATAAAATCCAGACAAAAAAAAGCAACTTGTTTCACTACTAATATTTCTCTGTGTTCTTGGCTATTACGGCCAACAAATAACCTTTTTACCCGGGCAAACGGCTCGGGGCTCCATCAGGGCGCACCCCAGAGCGCCTCTCACGTTTCGGCCCGGCGTGGCACGGCAAAACCCCTTAACATATCTTCAAATGCCCACTTGACATTCGGCAAATCCAAAAAGGTTTTTATATTGTTTTCAGTGGCCCCTGAGGGCGGGGGGGGGATGTGGTTTCCGCTGCCTTCTGGTCTGGGGGGGGACCTTTTACCTTCCCCCCCCACTGTCCAGTCATTGGCGGAATGGTTCTCTTGTCAGGTCAACAAAAATATTCATTTCACTGCATTTTTTTCTGGTTTTGCCATCCATCGATTAGCGTGGGATTATGACCAGGAATTCCCACCCAGGGTTGATTGCTTTCCCAATGACTATTGGGGGAAACCAAGCCGCATGTGTTTTTTATTTAAATTTCCACAGGGGTTCCAGTGTTAGGATAAAAACTTTAAAGAGAGGCTTTTTCTGAAAGCGGATTATCATTTCACAAAATCTGGGGGAAAGAGGGGAGGGGGGGGGGAACCGTATTGCGAGATTTATAACGCGGATTTATAACCACCCTACATTAATTTGCTGGCTAACTTCATTGGGATTTATTGTTGGGTTCCACTGGGGTCTTTAGGGCAAAAAAAATCTGTTCAACATTAAAAATCTGCAGGTAGAGGATGGGGGGGGAAAACCAATGGTGTTCATGGATCTATAAATAGGATGGACCAGCGGGGGGGGGTAAACGTTCAAGGACAAACAAATTTACATACGGTATGCGCTTTGTGGCCAGGTTGAAAAAAAAAACTCGTAATTTTTTTGACTATGAAAAAGTCGAAAAAATTTTTTGAGTTTTTTAAAGGTCGGAAATTTTTAGGAACTTTCTGTAGGGGCTTTTTATTTTTTTTTTTTGACATGGCCGGGGGGGAAAAATATAGGGGGATTTCCATAACCTTGGCACCCAACCCCCCACAATTTATTGGGACCCCCACCACTCAAAAAAAAAAAAAACAACAATACAAATTTTTACAAAACTTGGAATCACCTTGGCTATAAAAAAACATGCCATAAAATTCTGTTTATAGGATTTTATCTGGGACCGGGGTGTTCTGTCGATAGTGTCCTCCAAACCCTAAATAAAAAGAAACACCTTCTCTATTTTTCAGTGTTATATCTGTTGTTACTAGAATTTTAGATATTTTAGATGTTAATGTATGGTTTTGTTAGCACGGGTTTTGCAATGAATGGTGTTGGTAAGCCCACGTTACAAATAAGTAAAGCTGTTATTTTTGATATTTACATGTCTCCAAATTCTATAAGATGCCCTGGTAAGGAAAAACCAGTATTGCAGTTCACTCCATCATCCAAAATATTTTCTTACCCATTTTAAATTCAATTTTGGGTCAGGGGGTGGGTGGCAATCAGAGATGGCCACCCAAAGGTCTCATTTAGGGCCCACCAGGCCCCTTCACTGGGAACCCTCTGCAGGTGGTGAGTCCAAGGAAGAAAAACGGGCTTTTTTTCTTGGAGTGTGAGGGCATTAGCTTTGAGCTTTTCAGTGGGGGTCTTTGGGGCAAAAAAAAAAGTTGGGGTTTAAAGATTTGTCTTTGGCCCACAGGGGGGGGGTCACCAAACGGACAGCAGTCATCAGGGGGGGAGTCGGTGGAGGTAAGGTGGTCGGGAGGTGGGAAAAAAAATTGAAAATACCCCACGGGTGGACCTTCAGGGCCTGAAGGGCCAATGCTCTACCAACTTGACAAACTATGACGGCCCCCCCTTATTTTGCCAGGATTTTCAAAGTTTTTGTTTGGTAAAAAATGGTGGATGGAATTTTAAAAAAGATATCGTGGGGGAACATTATCGTTAATCGTGAGTTGGGGGAAAGGGATTTTTTATCCGGGAATATTTTATTTTTTTCCCATTTACATAGGGGTTTTTTAATTTTTTATGTTTGATTTTACCGGAAAAAAATAAAACCCCCATTTTTATTCATAGGGCATCTTTTCTCAGTCAATAAAATCTGGGGTAACCCCAATTTTCAGGAAAAAAAACTTTTAAAAAAAGGGGGTCCCATTATTAATTTTTTAGTAGGATTTTTTTAATTGATTTCCTCCAAAGCTTTAGTTAGAGGGGGAAAGCAATCTTTCTTTTCCATTTTGTCAAGCGGGAAAAACAACGAAGTGTGGGTTTCAAAAATTTTTTCAATATAGTGCCAACCCAATTTGTTGGATGGTCCAAAAAAAAGGCCTGCCTTCAAAGAGGTGAATTGGTACAGGGAGAGAAACTTGAAAAAAAACCAGCGATCCAAAGGGTCAGTCTTATGAATACAGCGGCATGGGGGCACCCCTCTCTCGTTGCTAACAGTATTTAAATTTTTGCCATCTGTGTTTGTGTTTTTAGGGCATGTCAAAACTATTGGGAGAAAATGTGTTTTTTATGTGTTAAAATTTTATGGTGGGACCAGTAAGGTTGGCTTGAAGGGGGGGGACAGGAAATGAGGGAAAAAATGGGGGGGATCGACTTTGTTTCCCAACCCCAAGGATTTGCTATTGAATGTAAATGGTTACCTTTTTGATTCTGTCCACCCAGGCTAGTTTTTACCCAGGTGGCTGAGTAGTTAGTTTTACTTTCCCGGTGTCTTATTTCAAAAAAAAAAAAAAAGCAGGTTCCTGGATAGGGATTTTCCACTCTAGGGGAGGAAAGCCATTTTTGAACTTTGAGTTTGATATTCCTCTCCATGTTTGTTGTAGGTTTCCTCCCAGTACCTCTAGGTGCAAGCCACTAAATAAACCTGTTTACTAAAGGGACCCGGAAAAATCAAAAAAAACTGGAAAATAAAAAGGAGAGGGGGGACCCCCCTCTCACTCACTCTTAGTTCAAAAAATAATTGATAAATTGGGGCCTCAGAGCACTGCAAAAAGTACTGTTTTTTTAAATTGATTGTAGAAAAGCATGTCATGTCTTGCTTTGGTTTTTTAACAATATTTTTATTTGTTCTTACAAAAGTCAATCGGAAAAAAATACGGTTGGTAGGCTTTAAAATTAAGACTTTTTTTAACCTTCAAAAAAAACAACTATTGGGGGGGACACAAATTTACTGTTTTACAGGTATCCAAATATTCTAATTCTGACCAATTTGGGAAATTTTGTCTTATATATATTATATTGTATTATAATTATATGTATTTGCTTTTACCTTAAAACAAAAATTACTACATTTATAGAAAAAGTATTTCTTATTGGGCTTATCTGAATTATTTTTGTTTAAAATGATGAGGGAGAATCTATGGGCATTGGGGAATGGTATGCGTTCAATTTATATTCCAACCATATGGTTTGGCAGTTTATAAAATTTGCAGTGTTTTTTACCATCGTACACCGCTTTAACAACTTTGTAAATTACTTTTTTAATGTTGGAATTTTTAAAAAAAGCCTTAATGAAAAGCAGCATTTTGGCATCCTATGCTCCGAGAGGCGGGCCTACCCCAGCTCTCTAAAGGGGGCGGTAGAAAAAAAGGGGGGGACAGTCCCGTAGTATCAAGGGCCCCCCACAACAGGTTGGTGATTCCCCCCACAAGGTGGGTGTTTGTGGTGGAAATAACGGCTTGAAGGGATTACACTCGAGCAGGATAAAACCCCACTGGGGCTAGGGCACAATAGGACTTGTTTAAAAATAGCTAGCAACTTCAATTTTTATGAAGCTAGCCATGTAAAGGCTTAGGAGCACAAAAAAAACTTAATTCTAACCAAGCTTCAAACCCCCCAACTGGGGGGACGGGTTAATCCAGGATTTTACGCCACAAATTAAACACGAGGGAACCCAACGGGAAAATGCTTCAATAAATTTCAATACAAAAAAAAAAGTTTTTTCATGGGAAGTTTGATTTAGATTGGAAAGGATTCCCACAGGATAATTGAAACAATATCAGCATTGGATGGATAAAACAACCACATTCCATTTTCGGCCCCAAACATTTGATCGTTTAAGCTGTAGAAGATTGGCCTCAGTAACAGCAGCCTCACGCCCATTGCAATTCCCGTGGACCCCATATCCCTTTCTGATTTTGGGGGGGACATTTCCACACAGGGGGGCTGGTCTTAACGTTTCAGCGTAGGAGCCATGGCTGTTTACCCGGGTCAGGGGAACATCTTTCTCCGTGGGCGGGTGTGGTCCGTCCGCCCCGGGTTTTCAAACCTCCTTTTCTCCCGGGCCGCAGAAGGGGGGGGGGGGGGGGTGGGAGGGGGACCCCACGGGCCCGCCGGGTTGGCAGGGCATTTGGGATTTTGCACCCCGGGGTTCCTGGGAAGGCTGCCCAGTTCCCGGGGGGGCAGTGGAGAGGGGGGTTGATCCGGCTGTTTCCTGTTGGTGGGGACTGACCGGGAAGGGGGTGGATTTAAGAAGTTAAGGGGGCCCGGTGGGCTGGGGGAGGATGGTTCTTGGTTGGGACGGCTTTCGGAGGGTGTTTGCTGTAGCTGCTGTTGGCGGCTGCTTCTGGGGGCCAGGGGTGGAAGAAGGGACCAAGAAATGATGTGTTTGATTATTTTATCATAAAAAAAAAAAACTTCTCCAATTTTAGTTTGAAAGGGAAAAAATGTGTAATTTTTTAGGAGTTGCACCTTTTCGTTTTAGTGTTTGCTATTTGCAATATACTTTTCTCTTTTTTCCTTAAACGGGTTTAATGTCGGGTTTTATCTGCCCAAGGGGTGGCAACAGCGGGGTTACGTGCTTATAGCTTTCACAAAAACCATAAAGGTTTCTTGGTACTCCAGTTTTTCCCTTTTAACGGTGGGAGATGGGGATTTAATTATGTAAAAAAAGGTAGTACTTAGGAATTTTATGTTGCTGCTATCCAGAATGATTATTTTAAAAAAAATTTAACTAATGTGTTTTGTTAATTATTTTTTCGGGTGTTCATTTTGGAATGTTTCAAAGAATTTAATTTATGTTTTTAAAATAATAACGGCTTTCGAAGTTTTTCACTTTTTCCCAACGTCCTATTAAGTGAAAAAAAACGCTTTAGGCGGGGGGGCCCCAAAAAATGCGGCGATGGGAGTAGGAGAAGGGCATCTTCACCCAAGCCGTCATGTGGAAATTGAAAAATTTCTGTTAGGAAAATCTCCCAGTTTTTTACCTAAATGGAAAAAAAAACTAAGGTTCTATGTAATTATGTTGCGAAAGCCCTTTTATGGTCTTCGCTAAATGGCAATATTCTCCGGGAAAAGGCATCGCTTCCGGCCCTGAGAAAAGATCCAACGAATGTCCCACTCTTCCAAATCACCTTCCCCCGGGGGTCCTGGCGTCGGGGGGCAGTTCCCTATAAAAAAATACGGGGCCATGCAAACACAAGCTCTTCCTCCTTTCGAATCAGGCCGAAATAAGGGAGGGAGGGCAGAGCTGCTTGGGCTCGGAAAAAGCTAAAAGGGCTTTCGCAAAAAAAAAAACCATATTCATTTAGGAAACTTAGTTACATTAGGTTAAAACTGGGGTTTCTATTTTTCATATTGGTTTTGCTTCGCCCTTTAGGCTTCGGCTATTGCCATAAACATTAGCGAAGCCCAGGAACTAGATGTACTCCCAAAAGGCATGCTAATGGAAAAAAAAAAACACTCGGTTGATTGGGAGGACAAACCTTCGTGCGAACCCCACGTGCTAATTTTTAACCGCAACCAAGCGGGTTAGGAGGGGGGACCCGGAGGGTCTAGAAAAAATAGCCATTAGAGAAAGGATGGGGAAGGCGCCACCTCTCCCAAAAGAGGTGCCCGCGCATTCACCAAACTGCAAAGCAGGGGGAAAAAGGGGAATTTTCAGGGAAAAATAACAAAATACTGGGGGTCAGGCAGCCTCTCCCAAGGAGCGGGGAATATCCTTACTTGGCAGAGGGTGTTGTTTGGAATATTTTAAAAACTCTTGGCACCAGTTAAAAAAAACCTAAAAATAAAAAAAAACAGTTTTAGTATTGTTTTTTCTATTGCCCAATTTAGCCACTTGTTTGTTTGTTAAATTTCTCAAAAAAGAGCCCAGTGGAGTTCAAAGGGGGGGTTAGTTTGTGTGAGAATGGGGAGGGGGAAACAAGAGGGAGAGGAGGGACAACTGGTTTGGGCTATCAGTGGGCCAAAGGGTTGCAGGATTTGGGCAAGCTGGGGCCATGAGTTCATAGAGGGTTTCCACGGAAATCTGTGTTGTCAAGTTGAAACCCTTCGGGGTGGTTTTTAAAGTATAAATGTATGGTGCAGGGGAGTGGTCCACGAGGAGGAGGGCTTTTTTCGCTTTTTCGTCTTGACAAGGAGCAAGTGAGGGGGGGACGTTCCCCCGGGGGTGCCCATCCTAATCTGAACGCCGAAAGCGGGGGGAGGACTTTTGGGTGGGTTCGCGCGGGGACCGTTTTTATCTTTAAATAATATTGCTTGCAAAATAACTTCCTTCAATATAAAAACTTTTTTTGAAATATCAGGGTTTTTGGTATTCCTGGTTTTTTCATTCTTATTACTGTATTACCTATTGGGTTTTTGACTCTTGTTGAATACTAAACAGGGAACTTTGGCAGGGAAACGGGAGGGGGGGGCTGTGTTTTTGCGCCTCTCTGCGGCTTTCTGGGGCTGGGGGGAATTCCTTGGACCAAAATTACTGGCAGAAACTTGGGCGTCGCTCGAACAGGGATTTTCGGGGGGGGACAGGGACCCCAACTTTAGGGGACCGGTTCAGAGAAAAAAAAAAAAGATTAAATTTTGTGCGGCCAAAAGGATAAAAAACGGTAAGAATTGTTACCCCAAACATAATTAATCTTTCCTTTCATCCTGGAACCTGGAGACCTAAAAAATAAAAAATTAAAAAAACAACAAAAAAAAAACACCCCAAGTTAGGGAAAAAATATTGCAGGATTTTGCAAAGTTATTTAATATTTTTAATGGGTTAAATAGTATTTCTAAAGTCTAAAAGGGTGGGGGACGTTTAAGAAAAAAAAGGAGGGAAAAAACTTTGTGTGTTTTTTATTTTCTCAAGAGTGAATGGATTAGTTTAAACTAAAGGAAGGAAAAAAAAACTGTGTGTGAGGGATCTTAAAAGTGAGTTATTTGGAGTTAAGGAGTCCCAAAAACTGTGGTTGTTATTCCTCAGTGATTTTAAGGAGAAAAACTGTGTTTTTGTTTATTAAAGTGACAAATAGCGGATAAAGGGGAACAGGGGGGGGGGGGGGGGGGTGGGAAACCGTGGTCTAAACTTTTTTCTTCCCACTTTTTAATTTTTCTCTTTGGTGTGGGAAATGAGTTGATTTTGGATGTTTTTCTGGTTGAAAAGTGGGAAACCAGTAGCCCAATAAACAAAACGGGTTCACAGTGGAACAAAGGGGCCGTGAAACACCTTTGGGGTCGCGTTAGGGGGGGACTCGGGGGGTTCACGGAATTCGGAGCGTTAAACATTTTCCCCCCACCCACTTGTTGGTTTGAACGGGGAAGGATACCACGTAATCAGGGGGGGACGCCTCATAAGGATTTTACGCAACCAATTTGCTGATTTTTTTACATTTGGATTTAAATTGATAACACAAGGGGTTAGTATTCTAGGACGGTTTTAGTAGAAAAAACAATGTGGGACCATCTGTAAAACATTAGATGGAGGTGGATTAAAAAGGGGGATTCTGATATTCTCAAAATCTCAGGGGAGTTAATCTGACGAAGAGGCCATTGTTAACCCAGGAAAAAATCATATTGAAAAAGTAACTTTAGAGTAGTGGGGCAGAAAAAAGGGATTTCAAAAATTGATTATGGGGGGGGGGGGGACAAAAAAGGATTGGTGGGCATTTGTTAAGGACAGAGGGGAGTATCTTTTTTTCGAAAGGACTTAATTCTTTCACTTCATGGGGAAAAGGAGGTTCAGGTGAGGGGGGGGGGGGGACCAGTTCAAGGGGACTGGATTTTCAAAAACTTTATCAGAGTTTTTCCCCAAAAAACCAAAAAAAAAAAACAAGTGGAAGGAGGGGAAATGATGGTTTCCTTTCATCAATACGGGGACAAAGCTATATATCAGGGGAAAAAAAAAATTATATTTTTCAAACTTTTCTTACTAACATTGTTTTGAAGCCCTTGCAGGAAAAAGTTGATTTTGTATGTAGGGGTACCAAAGGATTTTATGATGGGAAAATCTTGGACTGGACTTTGAGGGGGGGCCATAAGCCACAAGGGGGCATTTTCCCCCATCAAATCAAAAGAAAAACAACTATTTCCAAAATGGTTTGGCAGGGGGGGGGACCCTTTACACATGCGGTGATTTAGGGAAAAAAATTAACCCAATTTTATGATGGTAAAAATCCTACCAAAATGGGGACTGGGGGTTAAATTCATTTGTGCAGTTTGTTGTTCAAGGAATATAGCCAGGATGCACCCAAAAATTATATTGTTATACATATTTCGGCTCAAAATTTTCTCAGAAGGATCGATAAAGCACAACCACTTCTCATAGTGGCACGTTAGTTAAATGGGCCCTTAACAACCCCACTAGGGAGCGCCCCTATCGGGTTTCATAAAACAAAACTGGGGACCCGTCACTCACTTTAATTTATGCTAAATTAGTGTATATCAAAAAAAACCAAAAAAAAAAAAAACCGCCCGAAGTTGAAAATTTTATTGACCTTTTAAAACTGGGTTAGGTACTTATTGTTTTTTTATTTTTTTGGTGGTGTTTTGGGCTTTTGGAAAGAAAAAAAAAAAAAGGTAAAGGGGGAAAAACCAAAAAACACGGATTTTACCACCGCATTTTTTTTTAAACACTTTTACTAAAAACCCACAGGGCCCTTTTACTTTTTGTGCCCCCCCATAAGAGATTTTGTACATGGGGGCGGGCCGGGGGGCGGGGGGGGGGGGGGGGACTGTGTCCTTTTAGTTTAAAAACTTTTTCCCGGGGGGTTTTTTTCGCGGCCTTATAAAAAAAAAATTTGGTATTTCAATAGGTTGTTTCATTAGGACCTTTTCTAAATGGGGGGTCTTTTTTTTATTATTATTTTTTGGGGGAGGAGAAGGGGAGGCGTTTTTTTTAAACAAAAAGAAATAGGGAGCTTGGCAAAGTTTCACGGGTATTGAAGGGCCCTGGGGGGGTACAGTCGCCTTTCCAAAAAAAAATAAAAAAAAACATTGAAATGAGAAACAGGTTCTGGGGGGACGGATGTTGAGGGATGGGGTTCCAAACATTTTTTGAGGGGTTAGAAAGAACAGAAAGTGGGACAGGGCGGGGAGAACAAACCTATTTTACTGTTCTTAAAAATTCTGGAAAACGTAAAAACCCATAGTTTTTTTGGCCTTCCCACGGACGGGCAGCAGTTGGTTTGTAAAAAAAAAAACAACAGTCCAGAAGGCCAATTTAACTCACATTTGGAACCTTCGTAATTGCCCGCCATACGGCCGTGGGTTTATGTTTTGGTTGCGCGGGGGGGGCTGGGGTCGCTCCAAATTATCTGCCTTTTTCATTCAATCATCCATTAAAACATTATTAATATTTATACATACAAAAGGAAGGGGCAAATAAAGGCAAGGGAATCAACAATATCGCAATTGAAAAAAATAGAAAAATTTAGATGAAAAACTAATCAGGGCAGAGTTGCAAGAAATTTTTTTTCAGAGTGGCTCGTCCCCCCCCCCCCCACCCGCGGGGGGGGACCCCACTGCAGGGCAGGGAGGAGCGGGGACTGGGGGGCAGGAGGCGGCCCTCATATTATCCAAATAAAGGATATAAAAAATTCTGGATTTCATATCCCAGATAACCTCTGGTGGTTGTTTATTCTGCACCAAGCGCGCCCAATGCAAGGCAATGATTTAGTATTTTTGGTTTCTGGAGGGCATAAAGGGAAGGCACGTTGCTTGTCTCAAATAAAAATTTAAACAAAATATTATATATTTTGGCAATTTATAAATTTGTCTTTTCTAAAAACGTTCTTTGTTTTACGTTTGTTAAAAAATTGGGAAGATTTTAAATTTGACGATGGTTTAAAGCCCATTAAAGCTGGGATGATTCTTGTGTTCAAAATTTACGGAATAATTTAATATTTATTATTATCTAAGGGATTTTTAATATTTTCCCAACGGTTGAATTTCGCGGGGCCTCTAAAGAGACAAAAACAGTTGGGAAGATTGGCGGGAACGTTTAATGGGGAAAGTAGGGGACGGCATTTATAGGCAGCGGCGAAGGGGGAACGTTTTATGGACCAGTTGCTTTTCTAAAAAATACTTATAATTTATTATTGTTTGAAAATTCTTATCATATTGGTTACTGGAGTCCATATATAAAAAACAATAGGTTGGGACCAACCTTTTAGGTGTTGTGCAAAGTTACAAAAAAACAAAATAAAAATCTAGCCAGAAAAAAAGGGGTCATCGTTTTTTCATTTTTTGGGATGGATCCGTACACGCCACCCAAATTGTGTCGTTTTTTAGTCTTATTTATTTCGGCCTAGGAATTTTTAACAAATTATTTAGCGCCCATATTTTAGGACAATAAAATTTTTTTATTTTTCACCCACAGGTTTTCCTTATGAACACGGAACCTTCGCCACAGGCAAGGGTTTTTTGGTTTAGTGAACAATCAAAATTTTGGGCAAAAAGGGGGCTTGTTATCCAGCGCAAAAAAAAAATTTTTTGAAAACCATTAGCGGGTCAAAAAACTTGGGGGGGGACCGAGGGGGCGGGTTTCAAGGTATGTTTTTTAGCAAGTGGGCACGGGCGGTCCTAGTGTTTAAAGGTATCCACTGGTTTCACACATCACACATAACTTGGACTCCCAGAG